AGGGTATGACTGTCACCTGAGGGGAGAAAGCCAGAGGCACAGGCCCAATGCTGGGCCTGAGGTTGGCGGTTTGGGTGGAGAGGTGATTTTGAGTGTGACACCCTCCAGTGATAAAGCAGGGGGCTTCCCAGCAGCCCCTGGGGAAGCAGGCTGCATCTCCGGAGACAGGAGATGTGTGGAGGCCTGAGGGGCAGTGGAAAGCCCTGTGTGTCTGGGTCAGGGCTCTCCTTGGCAGGTAATGGTTTGTCCCAGTAGTTTTCAGACTCCCCATCCTGCTCTGTCCTTCTCTTGTCTGATGCTCAAACCTGTCACTCCCAGGTCAGCCCCCACCTTACTGTCTACCCCTCAGAGTCCCTCCTGCCAAGGGCACCTTCTGTCCCACATCTCCATGGTACAGCCGTGGGAGGAGGACTTAGGAGCATAAGAAACTTCACCAAGTTGGGGCCAGGCGCCGTGGTTCACGCCTGTAATTCCAGCACTTTGGGAGGCCGAGGCAGGTGGATCACAAGATCAGCAGTTTGAGACCAGCCTGGCCAACATAGTGAAATCCCATCTCTACTAAAAATACAAAAAATTAGCTGGGCATGGTGGCAGGTACCTGTAATCCCAGCTACTCAGGAGGCTGAGGCAGGAGAATCGCTTGAACCGAGAGGCGGAGGATGCAGTGAGCCAAGATCACACCATTGCACTCCAGCCTGGGCGACAGTGAAAGACTCGGTCTCAAAAAACAAACAAACAAACAAACAAACAAAAAACTCCACCAAGGGCTTTTGGGTCCTAGGGACATCAATGATGTGGCTGCTCTAGCCAGAACCTCAACTTGTCAGTAAAGTTGGAATCCATCTTCCCTAAGAGGTTTGTCCCAAGAACACACGAGTTGCTACAGCAGAGGAGAAATCAAGTGTGTTTTCTCTCTGGTCAATTGTCCCCTGAACGTGCTTTCTTCCTACAGTGTTGTCAGAAAAGTGAAAAAAAAAAAAAAATGTCCACGATGTCAGCTGGGGTGATACCAAAACAATTGTGGGAGGAACAACATCTGCAAATTGAATAGTGTGAAGAGTGTGGACAGAAGATGTTTTGTCTTTGGCCTCATCTCCCAGACTTGATCTTTGTAAATAAAGAAGGTTCCACCAGAGCCGAACCTAGCAATGACTTGAGGAGCAGCTGCAAGGAAGACAGCCTCTCCCGGGGTATCACCTGGGGGCACACACCAGCTTCCCTTCCTGAGCCTCATCAAGGGGTTAGTGCTCCCTCTCGGGAAAACACAAAGATGACAGAAGCCAAAGGTGCCAATAGTTCCCATTCAGTATGAAAGCTGGCTCAGCAAATCACGCTATTTCAGGGCCTAGGGTGGGCCAGTTCCCAGGCAGCCCTGGCAGGAAGGACTCTGAGAGGCGGACAGTAAGGTGGGGGCTTGGGAGTGATAGGTCTAAACATCCGATGGAAGCAAAAGAGAGGACAAGGGAGGAAGTCAAAAAGTCCAGGAAGCCTATCCTTCCAGAAAGTACCGACACCAGGGTGAGGTGGATCCCAGCACCCGCACCTCTGAATGCCCTTTCCCTTGCACCCCTATCCGGCCACCACTCAGAGCTGCCCCAAGCACCTGTTCCTCTGGGCCCCAAGGTGACGCCCTTTGTGTGTGTATAGGAAAGTACAGTGTACACATTGGGTTAGTTCCTTCTTTTACACCCATAAATTATCAGAGACAACCCTTTTGGAAAGCAATTTGGCAATAATATCAAGTGACATAAAGATGTTCGTAGCCTTTGGCCCAATAATCTTCCTCCTGGGAATTAATCCTAAGAAAATAATTCACAAGGAAGAAAGGACCATTTTGTATCTACAAAGACATTTATTGGGGTGTTATTTATGATAGGGAAAAACTGGAGACACCCGCCCCAGCCAACATAGAGGGATGGTCCTATAAATTATGATACATCCATCCAATGAAATGTTACCCTGCCAGTAAAAATGGTAAGTTGAAAATTGTATAGCAACAGGAAAGAGTGTTTAGAAAATAAAAGCGTGTGAAAAAAAGGAGCACAGGATTGTCTATATGCTGTGATCATGGCAATGCTGACAAATCCATATATGTGTAGATAGTTGTAATGTTACCTGTAAGGCACGGGAGGGCAGATGTAACCGTGCTTCAAATGTTCTTTTCCATGGCTGTGGAGTCCTTCTACCATGAAATCATTTTTGTAAAATCGCAATTTGTCACCAGGGGTTTTGACTTTCCTTATTGCCTTGAGGGAGGTGGCAGAGGCAGCACATCTCAGACCAAGCCTCGGTTCCTCCCCCTACCACCCACCGCTGCCCCTAAAGGAAGATGCTGCAGCCTCCCCAGTCCCCATGCCAGCGTCTCCCACTTTTCTCTGAGCTTTCGGTGGCAGACAGCGCCTTGGGCACTTTTTCATGCTCATAATTCAAATTACCTGTTTAAGTCGGTCAAATGAAAAAATAGCAGCTCCGCCCCCACGCGGGCTGGCCGGGGCGCCTGGAGCGCCAGGGCGGCTGCAGCGCGCTCTCCGCGGCCGTCGGCCCTGAGCTCATTTCCTGGGGCGCGCGCGCCGGGCTATTTCAGCCTGGCGCTGTGCAAACAGGACAATTTACTGCGGCCAAAAGGGGCCCAAATTACAATCGTATCACAGACAAATATCCGCCACGCCAGGTCTCCAGGGGCCAGGAGGGGCCTCTCTCCCAGCGCGGGGGGCGGGCGCGGGGTCAGGCGGGTCCGCGGGGCTCGGCTCGGCCTCGCAGTGCCCTGATCGGCGTTTGCCAGCGAGCTGTGCCTGCTCCCTGCAACAGGAAGGGGCCCAGCTCCCCCGGGCGACCGTTCCTATCTGGGTTCTCGTGCAGAAAAACCTCATCTCTTCCTGGGGATTTTCTCTTGATTTGGGGTCCCCTTTTATTTGGTTGCTTTTCTGCACTTGGGATGAAAACACTCCTTCAACCACTTCAGGGCACAAAGTCATATCTCCTCGTTCAGAAACCTCATTGCCTGTCCATCACTCTTTGGGAAAAGTCAGAATCCTTAGTCTGATGGTCAGAGACCCGTCTTGGTCCAGTCCACCTGTCCAGAGCCAGCCCCTGTACCTAGATGCTCCAACCACGGAGAGCACATCAGACTTTCACAATTTTATCCTTGACAGTTGCCTTTTCATCCTGCCTGAGTGTTCCCTTGTTTTTTTCTGTCTAGTGAGCTCTTATTCCTTCTTCAAGACCCAGATACATATCACCTCTCCATGAAGCTTTCCCTGACTTCCCCTTTCCCTGCCTGACATCTGCCTTCCAAGCAAAGTCGGCCCCTTTCCCTTCCTAGCACCGTGCAGAGGTAGATGGTACTTCTCACATCCTGTAATTATTTGCTTGCATGCCTATGGTACATCGTACCATTGCTCACAAATATTTCCTCTTCCTCTCTGGAGAAGGATTCCACTTCCCTGACCCATTGGCCTCACTCAGGCTTGGCCACTTGACTGGTGCTGGCCATTGAAGTGGGACATGTGAGTTACTGGGGAGCAGAAACTTTCAAAGCCAAGCATGGCTCACCTTGTTCTCTTCCCTCTGCTGCAAGGATGGCACCGCCCCAGCCAGAAACCATGCTGCCAGCCTGGTATAGGAGTGGAGTAGGACACACATAAGTGTGAGAGAGAAATGAACTTGACCTCAGTGCTCCAGGCCCCTGGGACCATGGACTCATTTGTTACTGAAGCATAAACTAGCTGATCTTGACTTCAGCTTCTGCCTCTCTTTCCTGCCTTTACCTTCACAAAATTAAGAATCTGATCTTACTGATAGTATACAGCTGGTCTTCAGCCATGCTCTTTTTTTTTTTTTTTTTTTTGAGACAGAGTTTCGCTCTTGTAGCCCAGGCTGGAGTGCAATGGTGCGATCCGGGCTTACTGAAACCTGTGTCTCCCTGGCTCAAGCGATTCTCCTGCCTCAGCCTCCCGAATGGCTGGGATTACAGGTGTCTGCCACCACGCCTGGCTAATTTTTGTATTTTTAGTAGAGACGGGATTTCACCATGTTGGCCAGGCTGTCTTGAACTCCTGACCTCAGGAGATCTGCCTGCTTCAGCCTCCCAAAGTGCTGGGATTACAGGCAGGAGCCACTGCGCCCGGCCCCGAAGACAGATCTTAATCATCTGATTTCCCATCCATTAATTCAGTCTTTCACCAAGGATGTATTGAGTGCCAATCATGTGCCAGGCACCATCTGATGTGCTGGGGACAGAGAAATAAAACAGATAAAAATCCCTGCTGTTAATTCTAGCCTATGGTGACAAGAGGCAGATCCGTGGCTGCCTGGGGTGGGTGTGGGGGGGGGGAAATGGGAGAAATGGGGATGACTACTACTTTGGGGGTAGTGGAAAATGTTCAGTATCATGGTAGTGGTGGTGGCTGTACAGGTGTATATATATCCGTATACATCCCACAGTTCAGAATTGTACACTTTCAATGGTAAATGGATACAGTTTATTATATGTAAATGATCCCTCAATTAAGTTGATTTAAAAGAACCTGGCCGGGCCCAGTGGCTCATGCCTGTACTCCCAGCACTTTGGGAGGCCGAGGTGGGAGGATCACTAGGTCAGGAGATAGAGACCATCCTGGCTAACATGGTGAAACACGGTCTCTTCTAAAAATACAAAAACAAAAAATTAGCCGGGCGTGGTGGTGGGCGCCTGTAGTCCCAGGTACTCGAGAGGCTGAGGCAGGAGAATGGCCTGAACCTGGGGGGTGGAGCTGGCAGTGAGCCGAGATTGCACCACTGCACTTCAGCCTGGGCAACAGAGCGAGACTCCGTCTCAAAAAGAAAAAAAACAAAAACAAAAACAAAAAGCCCTGCCCTTGTGGAGAAGCATTCTACTGGGGAAAACAGACAATAAACACATAGATAAATAAAACATATGTCAGAAAGGGGTAAGTGGTGCTCAGAAAAATAGGACAAAGGATCAAAAGTGCTGGTCGTTGCAATTTAAAATAATGGGGTCTGGAACCTCCTATATACTTCCGTTTGCGGCACGGCTTCTTTCTTTCTTCCTGTGTCGATATCGCTCTCGCAAGCATGGTTAACGTCCCTAAAACCCGCCGGACTTTCTGTAAGAAGTGTGGCAAGCACCAACTCCACAAAGTGACACAGTACAAGAGGGGCAAGGATTCTCTGTATGCCCAGGGAAAGCAGCGTTATGACAGGAAGCAGAGTGGCTATGGTGGGCAAACTAAGCCGATTTTCCGGAAAAAGGCTAAAACTACAAAGAAGATTGTGCTAAGGCTTGAGTGCGTTGAGCCCAACTGCAGATCTAAGAGAATGCTGGCTATTAAAAGATGTAAGCATTTTGAACTGGGAGGAGATAAGAAGAGAAAGGGCCAAGTGATCCAGTTCTAAGTGTCATCTTTTATTATGAAGACAATAAAATCTTGAGTTTATGTTCTAATAATAATAATAATAATAATAATAATAATGGAGTCTGGAAAACCACCCTGAGAAGGGCCAGTGGAGCTCTGCCCAGCCTGTGGTATCCTTCCTCAGGCAGGGGACTATACCCCCAGCTTACAAGCCTTTTCAAGGCACCTTCAGGGTTTGAGCCCAAAATGCACCGCACATTAAGTGTTATTGATGGGTTTGTGGAAATCTGCTCCGTCAGGCTCTGATGAAACTTTTCTAACAGGAGACTGAACTCAGGACTGGGCATGGCTCCCTGCACATAGCAAGTCACAGCAAATGTGTGTGGGGTGAATACTGTCTTCTTTATCCTCCCTTTTTCTACTCCAGTCCAGGTAGACTGTGTATCTACCCACCCAATTTTGCTGTTTCTGGCACCCTTAGTGGGTCTTGCCTGCTCCTCCTGCTTGAAATCATTACCCAGAGGTCTGTGTGTCAGCTCCAGAGAGATGTGCCTGGTGCTCCTTTATCTCAATACAATTCCCCCACCCCCAGGCTCCAGGGGAAATCCCGAGCTAACTTTGGTCTTTCCTAAACTCCACACTTCCCTTTGGGCACCTCTTTCCCCATCCTCTTTCCCCATTGCGGGGCTCTCTTTCAGAATTTGCTTTTTGTTGTTGTTTTTTGGCAGATGTGCACTAATCATGCTTTATTTAAAAACAAAAAAATTGGCCGGGGGCGGTGGCTCATGCCTGTAATCCTAGCCCTTTGGGAGGCCAAAGTGGGCCGATCACGAGGTCAGGAGTTCGAGACCAGCCTGACCAACACGGTGAAACCCAGTCTCTACTAAAAATACAAAAAATAAAATAAAATAAAATTAGCCAGGCGCGGCACGTGCCTGTAATTCCAGCTACTCAGGAGGCTGAGGCAGGAGAATCGCTTGAACCTGGGAGGCAGAGGTTGCAGTGAGCTGAGATTGCGCCACTGCACTCCAGCCTGGGTGACAGAGCGAGACTCCATCTCAAAAAAAAAAAAAAAACTTAAAAATAAATAAATAAATAAAAAACAGTCCATGTTGAAATTGATGAGTGTAAGTTAAATGGTGGTTTTTAGGCTGGACCCATGATTTAAGCTGTACCCATCCAGCTCAAACTGAAAAAAAAAAAAAAAAATCATTTGAATGTTAAAGCAATTGTTCAGTGTCTTGAAGAAGAAACCAGGCAGGAAAATGCCAATAATGATGATTGGCAAAATCAAAATCGAAAACAAAGAAACTGTTTATCAAGCTGCCAACAGACAAAGAAATCTTGCAGGGAGACTACAAGTCTGGAGTTTCTGGGATGAAACTGTACAGGAATGTCAGTCTACAGTTTCCTCAACCGCTGTGAAGACAGAGCTGTCACTGGATCTGACAGAGCCCTGCACTCCCCAGTCTGCCCACCCTTCCTGTAATCTGGTCTTCACTGCAGCCCGAGGAACTGTTTCAACCTGCTCCTTTCTTATCTTCTTTGACACAACCTCAGTAGACTTCTCTGATTCAGAACGAGTTCTAATTGATCTTCTCTGTTGCTTCTTTTCTGCTGAGCCTGTAGAACCAGATGTTGCTTCAAGAGATGATATATTCTGCACTGGCTTTTCATTTCTCTGGTTTGGTCTAGAAATTATAAGCCTGTCTTGCCCCCTGACACTTATTTCTGTTTTGTTACCAATTCCCTTTGTTGAATAAACAAGTTGATTAATTTCCCATCCTCTGTAGCATTCTGAAGAGCAAACACTTGTTCAATTTTCACAGCTTGTTACACTTCTGCAAATCCAGACTCCCTTTGTGCATTGTAATGGAAGCTGGTAGGATTTCCTTGCTGCCACAGTTTTCCAGGCTATTTTTAACAGGAGGTGGCTCTTCCTCCTCTACACTTGTGTGCTGCCTCTGGCTGTGTCTTCGAATGTCAGTACTTGAGAGTGAGGAGGCCATCTCCCCTGCATTCGTCTATTCTGGCTGAGTACAAAGCACAGATCTCGGTCATCAGGTTTTTTTTAACTTCGGCTTTGGAGACAACATTCTTTTTTTTTTTTTTTTTTGAGAGGGAGTCTCACTCTGTTGCCCAAGCTGGAGTGCAGTGGTGCGATCTCTGCTCACTGTAAGCTCTGTCTCCTGGGTTCATGCCATTCTCCTGCCTCAGCCTCCCGAGTAGCTGGGACTACAGGCGCACACCACTAGGTCTGGCTAATTTTTTTGCATTTTTTTTTTTTTAGTAGAGACGGGGTTTCACTGTGTTAGTTACGATCTCCTGACATCGTGATCCACCCTCCTTGGCCTCCCAAAGTGCTGAGATTACCGGCGTGAGCCACTGCACCCGGCCCCAACATTCTTTTTTGCTTGGGATAAATCCTCTTCAGGTTGTTTATCAATATAGATAAAAGTATGCTGTTCTATTCTTTCTTCTCAAGTCATTTTCAATGCTTTCTCTGCATGGGCAACGTCAAAATCCCATTGAGCATGTTCTCTCTGAGGTCAGGGTTTCCGAATCTTTTGTTTCTCAGAGTGATTGCTGGCTCGTTTGGTTGCCTCAGCCAGTAATTCTTCATACTGCTTATGATCTTTATACTCCTGTACCCATTTTTCATGAACCCACGCCCTCTCTGGCTGTTTGCTAAAACACTGGACATGATATTCTCGGGCACCTCTTGTGTTAATTTTGAAATGAACCTTAAGCTGGGGATCACTTGAATCCATACAAGGTCACCACGGATAGGTTCTCACCTTGGACCACACAAGATCACCAACCTGAAATTTAACACCAGTAGACACTTCTGTTGTTTGAACAGAAGATAGTATTGGCTGAACTGGGGCTTCCTCTTTTAGTACTGGATCTTCCCTTGGTTTTTCTGATATGGTGTCAACCCTCTCATTTGGTCTATTTTGTTCCTCTGGTTCTAATTTGGGGATTTTGTGTGACTTGCACTCTTCAGATCTTGATGAGTCATGCTTTTTGGGTTTTTTTCTCTTTTCTGCTTTCATGCTTTGACTTCTCATGTGCTCACTTGCCTGTACTTCATTTAAAAGGTCTCCACAAAGGGAAGATTTGAACAATTCCCTGCCATTCTGGATAGTTCTGGTTATTTTTAGTTTAACTTCAGGTGAGCCAGTCTTCTTTGGAATCACAGTTTGTGGTACTGAAGGAGGGGAGTGATGGCTGTGGAGGGGAAGGTTTTTCTAGAATTTCATGTGGTCTTGTGTTTAGAATTTCTGAATGATAATAGTCAGTGGGGCTAAAAGTTTGTAACTGCACCAAAGCCATTGGCCCATTAGGATATCGATTATACGACTGGTATTTGGTTTGAGTTTCATACATGCTGATTGATGGTAGCCATTTGTGAGTGAAGGAAGATGTGTTGTAGGTGAGTACTGAAAGCTTTGCTGCAAGGTAGCTTCATATGGTGTCTGGCCACCATTTTCAGCAATGTCACTGTTGTTATCAAAGGCATCCTCCTGATGGATGCTGGTGGAGTCAATGAGTTGAGGTGGTCGTTGAACTGTGTTTCCCGTGATCCCTTGCATGAAAGAGAAAGAGAGATCCATTGTTCTGCTCCAGCATTCTTAACTTTCCCTTCCTCTCATCAGGCCTTCAGTTTGTCCCGTTCTAACGCCCCGGCCGTGTCAATGCAATCACAGGGGGGACACGGAGATCGAGGACGGCCACAGCCGGGTCAGGCCAGGCGTGCTGCGGCAGGAGGAAGGCTCGGGAGGTGGGGCGGGAAGGGGAGGCCGAGAGACGGGGGTCGCCGCGCCCCCGCTGCCGCCAGAGAGGAGCATACGTCTGGCAGCCCGGCCTGGGCAGCAGGGTCCTCGACGCTCGACTGGGAAATCGCATGCCTCTCCGCGGCGACCTGTGCACAGCCCCTGGGCCTCCGCCTACGTGCTGGCAGCCGTCGCAGCGCACAAAGCCCCCTCGCCCGGACTCTCGGGGTGCCGCCGCCAAATCCTCAGCCCTTCATTAGCCGCGGTGCCTGCCGGGAAGCACAGTCCCGGGTTCGGGGCGATGGGGCCCAGGAGGAAGCGGCGAGTCAGCAGGGCGGAGGAAGCAGGGGCGCGAACCACGAACGCCGGCGGCCACGAGGGTCTGGAGGACAAAGGAGAGACTAGGCGAGAGGGCTTATTGTTTTTTTATTTATTTATTTATTTATTTATTTATTTATTTATTTATTTATTTATTTTTAAGACGGAGTCTCGCACTGTCGCCCAGGCTGGAGTGCAATGGCGCGATTTCGGCTCACTGCAACCTCCGCCTCCCGGGTTCAAGCGATTCTCCTGCCTCAGCCTCCGAGTAGCTGGGATTACAGGCGCGCGCCACCACGCCCAGCTAATTTTTTTGTATTTTTAGTAGAGATGGGGTTTCACCATGTTGGCCAGGCTGGTATCGAACTCCTGACCTCTTGATCCACCCACCTTGGTGTTGCTCTTTTATAACTCTTTTTATCCTCGCACCAAACTAGCATTTAGGGGAAAAAAAGAAAAATCAACAAAAACAAAACAACAACAAAAAAAACCTGTATCAGTTATTTACACGTTAGTTGGAAATAATTTAGACTAGTGTGTCTCTTCTTTGCAGAACACATTCAGTCCTCTCTGATTATTAGAAGGAAGGTTCACCTTTTGATCTTGGTTAAAGAAATTTCAGGCTAAATTTCTGGGGAGGGGATGTATTTCAGGTTCCAGGATCCCAGAATTGCTCTGCACGAGTCACAGCCATCCTTCCCTGCAGCCTCTGTTGGCTGCACTGTGTCTGCTGTTCCTTTAAGAGTGGTTTTGGCAGAGGCCAGGCTGAGCTCTTACTAGCTCCTTACAACAGAACAAGCGAATGTGAAAAGTCTTAAACATTCAGCCTTCTGGTCAGAGGAAATCCCAAAATCAGCATGGCTCAGGATTTTAAGTGCCCCACAGAGTGTCCAAGAGAAGAAACCTAGGAGTCTAGGGTCTTTCAAAACCCCAAAGTTGAAATCTTTCATGGCTTGGGATTTTAGGCAGCCTTTTGGAGGCCTCCCTTGCCT